CCCTGGAGCTTGGGAAGCCGCCTGTCTGTCCCTTTGGTGCGTGGGGACAGGGTCTTGGTCTTTCTGTATATAGTGGGGAGCAATCCATAACTGTAAGTCTTGGAGCAAAAAGGGCCTGCCAACCACAAAGTCAAAGTGTCCTGGTCTTATGTCCAGGACGTAGCCCATCTTTCTAGTATTTCGGAGAGGTGGCAGAGCCAGATCATGAAGGATTTCTGTGCTAGTCCAGATTTGGATTGATCTCGGGGGCCTTGGGAAGCCGCTGCGGGTTTTCATCCCGGGGAGGACAGGATAAACACTCCAGTAGGCCGTTGGAGGCGGCAGAGACAGCCCTGGCCTGCTACCTGGTGATACGCAGGACTTGGTCTGCACACGCTCTCACACACATCTTCCCTGTGGAGCCTCGCGACCACCCAGCACACCACCCACTTCTCAGAGGAGAAACCCAAGGCCCAGAGAACCAGGAGGCTTGCCCTGGGTCACATAATCAGTACGTTGTCTACACAGTCTGGATCAGAACCTAGCTCTTCTACCACTGAGAAGCTCTTTGCTTTCTTTAAGAAAATATTTATTGCTTTAAAAAAAAAAAATTCTACCCTGGAAACATATGAGAGCATCAGTTATTCAAACAGCACTGATGCAAACAGCAAAAGCTGAAACTTGTCTAACTCTACCCCTTTGGACTCCTACCCATCCCCAAGGTGAAATCTCTTCAGTAACTTGCCAGGTGGCGTCCAAGCCCTCGCTCTGCACTAATACACACACACACACACACACACGTACGTACATGCGCAAAATACAGATAGGCTTGTCCTGTAAGTACCGTGGGGGGACTTGTTCTCACTTCGCACTATTCCCTATCGTACATACGGATCCAGCTCTCCTTTGGATGAGTGCCTTAGCATTGGCTTGGACGGCTGGAATTTTCTTCCCAGCTACCTGGTCTCTCTCCACTGCTCACAGCAAGCCTTAGGCAGCGGCTGGACCCAGGGCCCTGGTCATCGAAGCACCGATGACCTAAGACACTAGCCTCTGTTCGCAGCATTTCCCGCTGACGGCATCTGAAACTATTTTAGAGCCGTGCCTGGCTCAATAGATATATGTGGAAGGAATCTGAGGCAGTCCTTAGAAACACACTGTTCTTTTCATTTTAAAGATTAAGTATTGGGGCGCCTGGGTGGCTCAGATGGTCGGGTGTCTGCCTTCGGCTAGGGTTATGATCCCAGGATCCTGGGATTGAGCCCCACATCGGGCTCCTGGCTCAGCGGGGAGCCTGCTTCTCCCTCTGTCTCTGCCGCTTCCCCTGCTCATGCTCTCTCTCTATCTCTGTGTCTCAAATGAATAAATAAAATCTTAAAAAAAAAAAATTAAGTATTAACGGAATAAAAAAATCCTCCATACATCAAACCAGTGATTCGAGGGTTTTCAAAATTTCCTTTAATACACGTTTAAGTTTAATAAAATGAATCTATTTAAAGAGAAATGTTAGGTAAATAGTAGCGCAGGTGGAACATGGGTATGGCCAGGCTCCCAGGTGTGGAAAGTACCTGAGTGAGGTTTGGGAACTGCTGAGGGAGGGGCCGGGCTGAGCGGCCAGAAGCAGCCAGGATCAGGGAGGCTGGCTTCCAGGTGCCCCGCTCCTGAAGGGGCAGGGGGAAGGGGAAAGGGGGCAGGGGGAAGGGGGAAGGAACCTTCGCCAGACAGACACCAGCCGACTTAACCCCGGGCTGTAAGTGCTTTGAGTGGAAGGAAGAGTGCTTACGATTTCGCTCGTCCTCTGCACATCCGATGTACCGAGACAGAAGGCAGAGCTGCCAGGACCCCCCTGGGCTGCCGTGGGTTGTGAGAATCAACAGTTGGGGCCAAGACCTTCCACTCCGGGGGCCGCTTCCCCAAAGGCAATGAAAGGCATAGATCAAACTGGCAAACTCGCAGGCCATTGTGAGGGCACTGGGGAGTCCCTGAGGGTTTTTGTTTTGTTTTGCTTCGTTTTTTTCCACCAGAGGAGCAACTTTAAGACCACCTGAAGTGTAAGGTCTTTGGGATGTAAGTGTCCCATAAAGGAACTACAGCTATGCTGGCCATTTATCGTGGTGTTCAGCCAATGCCAACAATGTTCTCTAGGAATCAGGTTTCACATGAAGAAGGGATCTGGGGTGCATGTGAAGGAGTTTTGCGAGGTGCCTAAGGAAAAAGTCACATGTCCCAGACCTTAGAGATCTCCAAGGAAAGACTCTAAAAGCACCAGTTCTGTGCTGGAGAAAGCACAGGCAGCTGCCCTTCCTCAGTTTCTCTGTGGGTGTCTCCCACACGGCCTTGTGAGTTTGCGCATGGGGGCTCTGAGTGCATCTCTGCCCCCTCTCCCTCCCTCCGTGCCTCCCTCCAGCTTGGCAGAGAGAAGACAGCCAGAACCTGGGATTACTGCTTTTCAAAGGTGGAGGCCAAAAACTTATCTACGGAGTGATCTCAACCATGTTTTGAAAAATGTATGGATGTACAGGAGGAAAATATGAAAATGTTAACGAACAGTGGTCTCCTCTGGATGGAGGAAAATCAGTGATTTTTCTTTTCCTAAAAGAGTCAAGAGGAGAAAGGACACCAAGCTGAGACCGCCCAGCAGCCTTATGCCCCCCAAACTAGCTGAGCTCAGACGGGGTCACAGCAAATCCCCCCAGGAAGATGGCACTGGCTCATGAAGCTAGCTCAGCCCGGGTGACCGTGTCAAGGTGAAAGAAAGCTCCATCCTGGTATTTAACTGAAAATCAAGTCAAGGCGGAAATCAGCACAAACAAGCTTTTTAGAAAAGGGGAGTGAGCCTGGAGCAGGGCCCAGGTTTTATTGATAGAAGGCTAGGTCCTGCCCTAGTTGTGCTGAAGCATGCAGTCAGGCCTGTCCAAGGCAAACATAACAGCCTGACCCAGCCGGCAGGGAGCGAACCCCACTCCGGGCCATTCGCAGCTGGGGGCCGTTCGGCACCCATGTAGGACTCTTGGATCCTTCCATGTGGTTCTGTATGGCTCCTTCTATAGTTCAGTGGTGGGTCTACTCTGGATACAGCCTTGATTCAGCTTGCCAGAGGGTTCTGAGGTTGAGTCCTCTACCCAACAGAGGAAAAGGGGCCACTCTGCTTCCAAGTACTCAGACTTGGAAGCCCCTGTTTGCTGTTGACATCCCGAGGAGATGAGGTATAGAGCAAACTCCAGGGCCTGCCCTGGGGCCTTCTGCCCACCACACCCGCCCCGCTAACCTGCTCCAGGGCAGGATTTCTCAACCTCCGCACTGTTGACATTTGGGGCCAGATAATTCTTTGTTGTGGGGGCCTGTCCTGTGTCATGGAGAGCGTTCAGCAGCAGCCCTGGCTCCCCCCACCAAATGCCTGTAGCATCACCCCAGTTGTGACTACAAAAAATGTCTCCAGAAGCCGACATTTTAGGAAATGTTCCTGTATGGTGTGCTCTGTGACTTCCGTCTTATAAGGCAAACCTTCAGCGAAATTCTGCATCATCCACTAGGGTTTGGGAGGTCAGATTTGTCTCCCTTTCCTCCTCACCCCTCGTGGGGCAAGGCCCTCCCAAGAGGCCTGCTTACATTCAGCCTATGTTATAAACAGTTACTATTCCAAAGTATGTGGAAGATGCACAGAATTTTTTAAATATATATCTTAGGATCGATTCAATCTCATTCTTATAAAACCATACATGATATTTGCTTTCTAGCAATGCTTTCCTAGTGGGAGAAAAAGGGGTGAGGGGAATCACAAGAAGGCTGTTAACACCCATAGGCAAATCTGGTGACTACTGTGGATGGCTAGTCGTGGGCATTGGGGCCGGCTTGGGATTTCCCAGGGCCACCGGTATTCTCTTCAGAAAATAACCAGTCATTCAGCACCTAGATTGTCTCTCACAGCACCCTGAGCACCCTGAGCTTTTTCCTCATAAATACGAGGCTTATTTGTTTAAAAGTCTCATTCTCCTACTCTGCTGCAAGCACAGGGAGGCCAGGGGCCATGTCTGTTCCCTTCATCACGAAGTCCTTGGCATCCCTGGTCCTGGCACATGGTCAACCTTTAAAACGTATTTGCTAAATGAATAAATGAATGATATCTGGGGACTCTCCTTACTTCCTTGACCAGCAACCGTGGACTCATACATTAAGGATCAGATCAAATGTCACCGCCTCTGGGAAGTCTTCCCTGATTTCTCCCAACAGAACCAATTGCCTCCTGTACTCAAAACACTTGATTCATACTTTTATTGCAACATGCATCACGGTATATACTATTTGGTTGTATTCTGCCCACCCCGCCAGGATATAAGCTCTCTGTGGATAAGAACGGTGATGTATCATTTATGATCCCCACTCTCCCCAGTGCTCGGCACCCAGGGGATACTCAGTAAATGCTTGTTCAATGCAAGAATCAGAAAATGTTCTCCTGTCTCCATTCCAAATCCTCGACCTCAAAGTTTGGACACATCCTGGTTCAAGTGCCTTGGCAAAACCCAGAACCAAAGCTGCTTTGGGCATCAATTCTCTAGTTCTTTATCACAGGGAAAGAATATCTGCCTGGCCCTTCTGAAGTTGAATCTTGTTTGGCTGCCTGATTGGCAGTCGGGATGATATGCTTGAGGAGCCTCAGCCCTAACATCCCCACTGCCCCAGGGCTATGAGGCTTCCAAGGACCTTTGGGAGCCTTCTCTCCTTCCTGCCCTCACCTATACCCACACCTCTGGCTTGGAACCCTAGGCCAAAGCAGGCCCTGTGTTTGGTGAGACCTAATGAGGACTTCTGAATATCTACACACTTCTCTGGGTCACTGTTCCAGTTCCATTTTCCCGTTCCCTTGAAAAGAGGTGTGTCTGGCCAGAAGGGGACCCCAGCATCCAGCATGCGTGGAATATTCATACCTCCTCCTGCTGACCAGAGCTCCCGAGCAAAGAAAGTGGAGGCTAGGATACCAGCAGAAGCCGTTCCCAGCCTGGTCCTTGAGCTCTGCTGCCTACCTGGCTGAAGATCGGAGTGAGGGTGCTTTCTGGAGAGGGCCTGTCCTGGGATGGGCCTTCCTGTCGACTGCAGTCCAGCTGGATCAGGTGACGGCACTCCGGGTGGCAGGTGAATTTACAGTCTGGAGGGAAAGAACCACTGTGGGGGTTAGGAGTCAGGTAGGATCCTGTTCACTTCCAGCCAGAGAAATACCCCAGGAGACTGTGTTTAGCTCCAGGAAGGAAGAACGTGCAGGAGAGAAGTGGAGGGTGGGAGAACAGCTCGGTGCCACCAGGGATGGTGAGAGTTAACAACACGTGTTTACACATTGGCAAACTGTTTTCACCTCCATTATTTTGTGTGACCTTGTAATCATTATTATTGCCACTTCACAGACAGGAAATTGGGGTCTAGGGACCTTAGGGACTTTCTCAAGGTCAGATCATCTGACTTCAGGCTGGTGCTCTTTCTATTAATTTACATTAATCACCAGGGGTCACGGATCCCTAGAGAAAGACTTCACTTTTCTGGGCCTCATTCTGCCAACCTGTAAAATACAGGTAATAGCTTCCCTGCCTGGTGCACGAGGAACTTTCTGGTTCCAGGGGAGAACAGGTCTTAACAAATTAAAAGTGCCTCCAGGGACAGAGGCATTATCATCCACCGGAAGGGCTGTTTCCTGTCTCTGACCCTCCCCCAGCTAGAAATGTGGAGGTGGCTTCTCTAAGCCAGCTGAAAGGGCCTCTAGACAACATCCCACATCAGGTGCCCCAGGGGAAAGCATACGTTTTATAGACAATGTTCATTTCCGTGGAGGCAGGACTTAATCTCCAGGGTTGAAAAGAGCCTCGGGAACTACTCTGGAGGTGGGGAGACCGGGGCTCAGAGGGGTAAGTGAGGTTGCCCAATGACACACAGCTCAGTGGCAGGGCCTCTTGGACAAGACGCAGCGAAGCTCAGCCAGGCAAGGGAAGCGTGTGCTGTGGAGGATGGGGGTGAAGCGAAGGTTGGCAGCGAAAGAAATCCGTGCAAGTCCTAGAGCAGGCGAAATGCTCGGGTTCGTTCCGGTTTGAGGTAGGGTTCCCACAGAGAGCTGCTGGGCCAGCTGGGTCACCTGTCCTGGAGGCAGAAGACCCACTGGGCAGGGTGCGGAGTGTCTCGAGAGGACTGGCTTCCGGACTGTGCAGCCAGGTGCGTGGGGATGGGCTGCTGTGGGCAGGGTTTGTGGCCAGGGACACGACAGCCCACACTTGTTTGGATAACCTGGGGACTGCTTTTGGCTGATAAGAGCTCAGGCTCCTGACACCCCTTTTCTTCCTTGCAATGAGCTCCAAAAACCGAGCCCGTTTGGACTCTTCTTTTGAAAGTTGCTACAGGACCCTCCATCTTGGGCCAGGGGTGGGTCTCCTCTTCTCCCACTCTTCTGGGGGAGTTTTGGAGGGAGACCTCCACTCTCCCCAGCTGCCCTCTTCCTTTGCACCCCCAAAGGTGAGCACCTGGGCCACATTCCTCACACAGGTTTTGCCACGAATGTCTGCAGGGGAGCACCCTCACAAATGCGGGGACGCACAGAGGTTCCAGAACCCCACAACCATCTGACTCAATGGTCTGAAGCCCTCGGCCACCCTTCTAGGATGGCATTTAGAAGTTCTCCGGCTTTCCGGCCTCCTGCCCGAAGGCCACCATCGTCTCCTCCTTCAGACCCCACCCTTGTGTAGGCCTTCCTGACTCTCCTCCATAGAAGCCTTCCCCTCACCCGGGGACGGACTGGCGAAGCCATTGTCTGAGGTAGGCACCCCATGCCCCCAAGTGCCCACATGCATTTCTGCCCCCAGCCCCCAGTAGGAGCTCTCTGCCCGGCACAAAGACAGCTTCACACCGAGTGGGGTGAACGGCACAGGGGGATACGCAGGCCAAGCGTCCCTTGCTCGCAGTGCCCAGAAATGCCGGGCCTTTGATAAGGCAGTCCCGAGGCCAGAGGCCGCACAGGGAGCACTGTTCGGGCCTCCACTCTGGGGCCGCACCTGTATGGCATTGGCAGCGTGCTGAGCGACGAACAATGCCCCAGGGATGCCGAGAAGGGGAAACAAGGAAGAGAAGGAAGGACTGGAAGCTCTCCAAACTACAGCAAGCAAGAGCTACTGCCAACTCACAAACGGGACAGCATCTCGAGATAGGAGGAGGTCTTCCAGTCTCTTCTTTGAACTCCTGGTACCGCTGACCCAGGCTCTGTATGTCCCTCTGTGCGTCCAGTTCTCTCATGTTCCGTCTGTCTGTCTCTCCCTCTCTCTGCTCTCTCTGACACACACAAACACACACACGCCCCCTGAAAACAGCACCAAAACCTCAGAAAGTTGTTGTGTTGTTTTTTTTTTTTACAGTCCCAACGCTGAGCTGGACAGAGCTAGGGAACAGAAGACTCCAGGAAGAGTATTTGGGGATTTTATAAAAAGCACATTTGAGCGCCAATGACTTTGTTCCCCCAGACTGTGTAATCACAGACTGTAGCAAAACCACTAGAACACATCTTGATACTTCCAGGCCCCTGGAAATGCTAAGCCCAGGCCAGCAGAGATGAAGTCAGAGCCCCCATGCCCTTCTCCAAACAAGGAAGCAAGCCCCACCAGCCCCAGCCAGTAGCCTGCAGGCCTGATGTGCTCCTGTGGAGAGTTCCAGGAGATTCCAAAGGCAGGGTAGCATTCCCCTGGGACCTGGTGGGTAACCCCCACAGGCCATCTTTCCCTCAAGAGAGTTCATCTTGAGGTGCTGCCAAGCCATTGTCCTCCGCAGCCTTCAGCTAGTGCTCAATCTGGACACAGAAAGGGAGAGGGCCCCTGGGTGGCACAGGACCACATAGGCCCCCGGGAATGGCTCAGCCTTCCCTGAACAGCCAGCACCACCATCTTTGGCAACAACTCCAATGTCTTGCGCACAGACCTCCCCACGCCTGAGGGTGAGGACGAATGAGACAGGACCTCTGGCGAAAGTCAGGCTACCTGGGCAGACAGGACACACGCGTGAAAAGATAACTAACGAGTAAGACAGCACAGAGCAGGGCCTCACTGCCCAACAGGTCCAGGAAGCCTGCCTGTTCAGGGGACAGAGATCTCTGCCAGCCACAGCAGTCAGGGAAGTTTTCTTGGTGAGGGAGGCTCTGGGGAGCTTGAAGAATGGACCAGATTCCAGGCGACTCATATTCCCACATCGCAGGGGCCAAGAGGGGGCAGGGAGCTCTGACACCACAAGATAGATAGGATGAGGATCTCCCCAACCAGAGGCAGCAAAGACCAGGGAACAACATTCCTAGGTTCTAATCGGAGTATCTTAGGGAGAACTGGCATTTCTTGACCTTAGTGTTGTCATCTATAAAATAGAATCATTATCCTTTCCGGTTTCCACCCTTCCCTTGCAGCTCTAACCCCTGGCCCCCTTCCCAGGGGATGCTCTGGGGAAAATAAATGTGCCTCCAGGTCCTGGAAGAGGGGCCTATGGAAACAGAGAAGCCAACCGTAAGGAGAAATGATGGGGACAAACCGTAAGAGGGGTCCTTCTCCAAGGAGCGACCCCTGCGCCAGGATGGAGGGCTGCGAGGGCCCACCCTCAGCACCCAGACTGCATTAGTTTCCCAGCTGTTGTAACAACGTACCATGAACTAATAGCTTAAAACAGAGATTTATTTGGGTTTGGAAGGCTGTGAGTCTGATACGGAAACGTCAGGCCCTTTCAGCCCAGAGTTGCATGCAAGACCCTGAGCGTTAATCTCCTCAACTCTAAAAGGGGAACGAGCCAGCTCACAGGGCTACCATGAGGATTCAGTGGGGTTCTTGAAGCAGAGCACTGCAGAGGGAGCCCTCGGTCAGCGTTCCACTCCCAGCCCCAGCCCTGCCCCGCCAGGCAGACGCCTCACCCCACTCAGCTCCTGGTGGGTGATCTGCAGTCTCACCAACCTGCCTCCGGCTAGTCATTTCAAAGCAACACACAAGTGGGTCTTAGTTTTAAAATAATTTTGTTCTGAGACAGTACAAACAAAAGCAAAACAAAAACAAAAGGGCACTGGAAAATGCAGTGTTAACATAAGTTAACATAAAAAGCAGAAGTCAGCGTTGTCCTGGTCCTCCAGAGCAAGTCAGTGGGGACAGTCCTCAGTATCAGGGATCCCTTCTCAGGACATTTCAAGGGACCCCCACTCTTGCACTGGGAATCTCTCCACACAAGCCTCTGGGCTGGACCAGCTGTGGCCGCTCCGACACGGCCCAGATCCCTCCAATACCACTGCACCCGTCTGCCCTGGCCACAGGCCTGCTCGCGCACCTGCAGCCCCACCCCCCATCACCCTGCAGCCTCACGCCTGTCTGTTGCCCTGGCCAGGAGCGCCCCTCTCCGTGTCACCCCAAGATTTCCCCTCAGACCTCAGGCCCTCTTGCAAAGGGCCCACGGGTTAATGGACCCTCAGCGACCCTGCCCCCCAAGTCTCCAGCCTTGCGCTGGGCCCTCCTCAGTGTTTGAGAGGACCAGACACTACTAAACATTCAGAAGGGGTTTGGTATGAACTGGGTAAGTGACCAGAGTAAGGAGGGGTGCTCTGCCTTTTGCCAAAGTGGAGAGGCCAGAGTGTGAGTGCCGATCCGATTCCAGGCTAGTGTCCCCTGTGCCTCAGTTTCCTCTCTGTGAAGTGGAGGTGAAAGAGGTATCTGCCTCGCAGGGCTGCCATGAGAACGGAATGAGATACTTAGAATATAAAGAGTTCAATCTATACTAACTATTCTTATCAACTGACCAAAACCCAAGGTGGGTCTCACCAGCGGCCACAGCATCAGGCATCCTCATTCCAGAAGCCTATCTGTGCATATCCTGTCCGGGCCCTCTGACCTTCCTCCAGACCTCCACTGAGTCCTGATGCCAAAGGTCCCCAGGCATCCTCAGACCTCCGCTGAACCCCTGTTCTCCAGCAAGGGAGACCCCGGCTCAGATCCCCGCATAAGTAAGGCGCCAGGTGGACACAGAGCCAGTCTGGTGCGGGGCCACCTTCCCGACGTCGGAAAGGCGCTGCTGTCCCCCCCTGGACGGCTCCCTTCCCTTCCTTCCTCCCCAGACCCCTCCAAAATTGAACTTCTAAAATCTTGCTCGGGTTTCAGAAAAGAA